ATAAATAAATAATTTTATTTTAATAGGTGTTATGTTTATATATATATATATATATATATATATATATCTCATATCGTAATAAATAATTTATTTTAATATAATTTTAAATTTAACTTAATTTTTTTAAAAATTTATTTTTTATTTAAAAATTAATTTTTCAAAATATTATTTTCTGATTTAGACAAATAAATAAATCATATTAAATTAGTTTTGTAAATTTACATATTTTAAATGCAAATATTCTACCAACTGCTTTTTAAGAAACCATTAGGGAACTTGATAATGTTCTACCAATTAAGCCATGTGACACTTCATTTAATTTTCATCTCTCGAACACTGAAAAATGAAAAGATATATAAACCGAACCCATTAAATTATAATTTTTGATCTACAGTTCTAATTACAATTGTTTCTGATCCTACGTATAGATAATTATATAAAAATTCCAAATACATATAAAACAATCATATGTAAATTTTAAATTTGTGAATACTAAAATCTTATATTTTAATTACATATACTTACCCTGCGCAAGACGAATGTCTTATCCTAGTTGTTATTAAAAAGCTATAATATGTTGAAGGAGGCAAATTTATTTTTTAGGAGCTTCTTTTGAGGAAATTTATATTAAAAACTTTGAGTTCGGATCACTCAAATAATCTGGGCTGAGCAAAACATCCATAAATTTTGATTTGATTCGTTAACCGTTTCGATCCGAATTAAAAAAATATGAATATTCGTAATTCTACGAATAAAATCAAATACTAGATACAAAATCTATAAGAAACAAAGCAAATCACAAATACTAATAATTAAAGGAACGGATATCTGATCCTATTCGTCATACGCATATATATACATATATTTAAAGAAGTATATATAAAAGTTATATAAATGTTATATTTTATATAAATTTATAATATTAAATTTATTATTTTAGTTATCAAAGTTTTTAAAATTATTTTTGTAATAAAATATTGTATTTTATATTAGTTTGAATTTTATTATTATTTTAAATTTTTATTTTATTTGTATGGATGAATCGGATACCAGTGTCCCAGATATTTGGGTGGATATAAAGCGAATCGAATCAGATAATTGATTATACACAAAAAAATATATCGGATCATAAATACCTCCAAATATTCAAATATTCGATTAATTTCTATCCCTACAAAGCGCATGTATAAGAAAATGGAAGTATTTACATACTTTTTCTCCTGACTTCTTGTAGGGTTTTCGGGCCCAAACGACCTAGGCTACCGAAAGAAAGAAGAAAATCAAATTATAATGTATATAGTATGTTCTTTCTAGTTTATACTAGGTGATTTTCCCGTGCTCATGCACGGACATAAATATTTATAAAATAATTATATTATAATAATTGGTTGATATTTAATTTAAATTTAAAATTAATTTATAATTTGTAGGTATAATTTATATTAATAACATTATATTAATTTAATTAAATATATAATTTTATATATGTTATATTTCGTCAGTTTTATTGTTTTTACGGTTGATTTAGTTATCATTTAGATATATTAGATTCTATTTGTTTCTCATAATTCAACTATAATTTTTTTTATTCTAAATATATTAAATTGTTGATTAATTGTCTTATTTGCATTTATGCCAGTTGTTATCTTAGAAATATAAGTATATATAGTAAGATGATGTATAACTTAAATATTTTTGTGCTTAGAAAGAAAAAAATAAAAAACTAAACTTTTTGATTCTAAATTACATACATAAGTAACTAATAAATTTTTGGAAGCTTGAACACATATCAATATTAATAATATATAGATTGATTGGATGGTAAACTGAAATTTGTATTTTAAATAATTTTAAAAATAAGGATTTTGATTTGCTTAAGTATTTTGATTATGGTTATATTAAGTTCCACAAACATAAAACAGAAAATTAAAAATCAAAAGAGTTATTAAGAAAACATATAATTTTAAATATTAAAATATAATATATCTACTTCATTTTTTTTGTTAAATTATATAGTGTTATGATATTTTCAAATAATTTTTATTTGATCAAAAATGTGTATTATTAAGATTTATTTTTATTTTTGTTAATATCTCTTAAAATATTCAGTAAAATGTTATTGTTTTTGAGAAATGATATTATATAAGTAAAATAGAATTTATATTTTTTTTGCTGCAATTGTAAGGTATTATAATCAAATAAATATACTAAAAATCAAAAATATATTTCAAGAATACTAATTATAAAAACAATTGCTAATTAAACATATATCAGTTTATGTTACTTAATTATGTAATCATCTAATAAAATAGATAGATATATACAAAAAAATAATTACTTTTAAAATATATATATTCATTGTTTAAAATTATTTTTTTAAAAGAAAAAAAGATTTTTTTTTCTAGTATCAAGATTAGTTGTGTGAACTTTTTTATGGAATCACATTATATACAAATATTGTTTTTCATCTGAGAAGATATAGATATAAAGTATTTTATTACTTGGAAAGTATATTTTATGTTATTTAAAATATATTTAAATTAAATATTACTATTTTGTGAACTTTCCTTTTTTATGAAACCATATTTCTATATACTTATTTTCGGTTTTAAATAGTTTTGTAAACTTTATAAATGTTTCCTTTTTATTTTATATTGTTATTTGGAAAAAAATTTAAAAGGAAATAATAATATTTAAATGTATATTTTTTTAATTCATTAGGGGTATCATAGTAATCAACCAACGTGAGAGTTAACGTGAGCGCGACACATAAGAAATTGACTTCTCAAATAATATTATAGAGATTCCAATCTGATTGTTGAGTGCGTTAAGATATGTGAGGATTATGCCTACGCATTTGATCCGGACCCAAAAATTTGAACTGCAATTGATCCAAAAATATCCGACCCGAAATTAAACCAAAAATATACAAATATCTATTGGGCATAAATATTTTTACCCGAAAATACCGGAACCAAAAAGAACCGACTTAAATAGACTTACATCCAAAAAGAACCAAACCGAATAGAGTCGATCTATCTTAAAAACATGAATATCCAAAACTATGATTTTGAGTTTTATTTACTATATTTTATTTTATAATTTAGTTTTAATATCTTTTTGTTAAAAAACTTTGTTATTATTTTATAACATTTCAAGTAATATAAATCTTTAAATTTAAATTTCAAAATAATTTATTTTAAGTTATTTTATAAAGAATAGATATATATGATAGATTTTGACGGGTTTTAGGTATTTTGTATCCTTTTCATATACTAAATACTCGAACATGACCTGGTCCTCAAACAAATTTGAAAATTACAGATATTTTATTGGTATTTTAGTTATAGCTTTGAACCGATTCGAATTCGAGAAGAACCAACCTGAATCTGAACCAAAAATCTATAATTATTTATTTGGTCCAAATGTCTAGGACCCGAGAAGAACTAACAGACTCTGATCCAAACGTCGAGGCCTGGTGAGGATGAAGGTGAGGCAAATGAGAAGCCGTACTGGAGTTTCTCCGAAGGAACCTTAAGTTTTATAGATGCCGGTTGTGTTTTCATTATTCGCCAATGAACGTTTGTCACGTAATATTTATTTAGAATCTTTTTCTTATGTAAGAGGTTGGGCTCTGAGATCTCATGAGCCTCACACGTTTCTTCAGCTCCTTTTTAACACATTTTAGATATTGAGTTTTAGTCTTACACGGGCCCAAGACCATGGTCACCTGATAAATTCACAATTTTACACACACAGACTGTTGCTTATTGCCATTTATAATGATCCAGAATAATTTAGAATAATTTAGATATTTTTTTCTTTATAAAAAAAAATAAAATAATTTAGATATTCTTTTACTGTAGAACGTCAAGTGGTGTCATCTTAGTATTAAAAGAGAAGCTAAAGTAATGGTAACATTGACTTTTTTGTACTAGTACACATATAGGGAGGGTCAAGGGGCAAATAGTACCAAATTTTATAATATTTGTGATTTGCTTCGTATTTTATGGATATATATATTTTTTCGAGTTATTTCACTTTGCGAAAATATGAATATCCAGTTTTCCTGATATTTGGAAAATTTGTGGACATTTTAAAATATTCAGGAATATGTACGAATATCTCATCTATTTTATTCAATACAGGTAAATTCATAAAAAGATGAAATTTGTTTAAAAATAAATTTATATAATATAAAATATAAAATAAAAGTTAAATAAATTGTATGTTTTATGAATTTTTAAAATTTTAATAAAAACTTCTTATTAAACAATTTGTTTTAGAAAAATGTTGTTTTCTATAAATTTTTTTATATTTTTGTCTTAATTTAACATTTTTATAAGTAAAATTTTCATAAATTAATAAAATTATTTATTAAAATAACAATTATATAAGATTATAAATTTATAACTCTATATTTACTTATAGATGTATATCTACTGGTATAAAAGTTAGAGTGAAGCATATATATGTTGTTAAATTTTTTTATGTTTGTGATTTGCTTTGTTTTTAACAGATAATAATTTTAATATATTTTTTTGCTTCAAACATTTATATATCCAGATTTTTTGGATCAAATCAAGATAAATAACGGATCAAAAAAGTATAAAATGCTCATGCATAGTAAGTATAGTAACTATGTGAGTCACAAAGGAAAGAAAGTCAAACTTAATTTCTTCAACACTTTAAATAGCGTCCCGTTTTTCCATCTTTCTAAAAATTAGTCTCTTTAAACCTTGTCGGCCCTATTTATTTCATGTCATAAATTTTTTTTTTTTTTTTTGGTAAGAAATGTCATAAATACATTATTTGTTTTAATTTTCCTTACTAGTAGTACTATGTTCTTTAATAGTAGGTCTTTCAAATTCACCATTAGTAACGATGTCTTCAAATCGACGTTTTTCTTCTATTGAGCGGCGCCATTTGACACTCTAATATAAAAGGGCAGGTTGTAACTTAGTATTGATTGAACTTGGTCAATTATTAAATGGTTGAATCACGGGATTAATCTCTTTAACATTATATTTGAGAGTTATTTTTCTTACATTTTCCTAACATACCTATAATATAAAACAATAGTTCAAATAAAAATTATTAGAAAATATTACACCAATACTAAAATCATTGGGTGGACATGATAAATATAGCGAGTTAATTTGGAAACCATCTGATTAACCAAAAAAATCAGAAGAAATGAGGGTTTTCATCCAATAAAATATCACCAATCTGTCCACCAGAGTCCTCAAACAACCACTTCTCGAACAAAGACAATTGACTTTGGTTACTGCATCCAGTTATGTCTGGTTTGGTCTCATGATCAGGTGAAACTCCAGCTTGGTGATATGATGAGTCACAATCTTTCAAGTGATCGAACCCTGAAAATGGTCCTGCACAGTCCTTCTCTACAGCACTCTTGATCACTTCTTTTGTCTCAGAATCTGGAGAAACCATTTGATCCGCTGAGTTCTGAGTCTTTGGCGAGTTCTTAACCCACCCTTTAAGCAATTTTGCTATATTCTCGGTGCTTGAGGCATAAGTGGTAGATGTTTCTTGCGTCCTAAGAAACCCACTAGCTGAGGAAATAGAACGTTTTGATTCAGCAGAAGAAGATGTTGTTGCCGTAGTGGTAATGATCGGTGCTAAGGCAGGAGACAAAGCCTCAGAGAGAGCCTTTTTGGCCAAGTGAATATCGGTTTGGAGCCTTCTTTCCCATTGGCCTCTTGCGATGTTTGAGTTGGAATTAGCAGATGAAGATGATGGGGAAGAAGAGAGTGAGGAACGGTCTCTTGATTGGTCAAGTTCTTGATGAGAATCTTGATTGGCTTTGTTGAGTTTCTTCTTCAAGTGAGTGTTCCAATAGTTCTTAATGTCATTGTCTGTCCTCTGTGGAAGATAAGACGCAATTGCAGCCCATCTACACCAAATATTAAATGCCCTCCATTATTATTATTTTCTAATTTTAACATTTTGTGAGAAGTAAAATTAGAAAACCATCTTTTGATTGAATATTTGAATGTGATTAGACTAATTTACCTATTGCCTAAAAGGGCTTGGAGATGGACAATCATCTTTTCTTCATGTTCTGTGAAGTTGCCTCTTTTGATTCCTGGCCTTAAATAGTTTGTCCATCTAAGCCTACAACTCTTGCTGCATCTAAGCAACCCTGAATTTTACAATAACAAATGTCAACAAAGGCAAAATAAATATTAAAACCCGAGTAAAAACTTAAAGCTCATGCACTAGATCTTGATCCTAAAGTTGATAAAGAAAGCCCTAGCTAATTGATCCCAATTGTCTATATCTTACCTACATAGCCCTAATAATATTTGTATACATCCAAAGCTCGAGAGATGATATATGCATAGATAAAGAGAGGGAGTGAAGAATATTAGACATACCAGTATTGGTGGGAACAGCTCTCCAGTTACCAGGACCATGTTCTTGGATGTAAGTAACTAAAATGATATCTTCTTCAGGAGTCCATGGCCCTTTCTTCACTCCTCCTTTGTCACAACAAGGGGGTCTCACCATTATCTTGATCTCTCTCTTAATAATCAATAATTAATTAATAACTTCCTTTTCTCTTTTTTTCCTCACTTAATTTTCCACTACAACTCTTTGCCAACCCTTAAGCTCACTAATTGCACTCTTAGTTTTGGATGGATCTAATGGTTTAGCTTGGCGACAAAGGTCTATGTCCATTGTTCACCTTCTTCTTCTATATATATATAGAAAGAGAGAGATAAAATTGTTGACCCCTCTTGGTCATGGACCCTTGGTTCTCTCAAAATTGAGTATTTAATATATAAAAATAAATAAATAATATTGTAAAGCATTAACTACAAAGGTGGAGTAAAGCCTCCAAAGTCAGCTGTGTGGCAAAAGGAAAAGTCTCTACCCTCCACACAAAACCGCGTGGCATTCAATGTGGGCTTGCTCCTTTCAAAACCCTAATATCATAAAAATTGTTCTTATTACAAACAGTGTATGATATGATATCTCCCTCTCTTGCTTTTAATTTATTGCTACGATAAATTTAAGAATTGAATGCATTTACAATACGTAGGCTTCGTTAATAATAGTTATTGATGAAAGGGTCTTTTGACAAACGAGATTTTCTCTGCGCCATAATTTGCTGTTTCGGGTTTCCATGAAAACAGAAAAAAAAAAGAAAGAAAAAAATGCTGTTTCGGATTGAACCATTGGGTCTTCGGCGTTTTGTCAAATTATATGATGGTCTACGTCATTCATGATGTTATTGATGATTTGGTATGTTCTTATTTGAGTATGGTTCGCGATCAGTACTGATGGACCACACCTAGATTTTGATAAACATATTTTGGATTAAATTAATTGTGGGTTACATGTGCATGTCGTTATCGTAGGGGGTACAAAGAGATTAAGAGATGTTTACATGAGAATTTGGCAGAAGATAATGAGCATTTTTGGATTTGATAGACACAGATCATACAACCATATTCTATTCATTTGTACTTGTATATATATATATATATATATATTCGAAGCTCTGTACTTATATATATGTAATGTATATATAGCTAGCAACAAATAATTAAAAAGATGATATCAATATGGCTTTCACGCTTTAGTCCAAAAAAAAAATATGGCTTTCACGAGCCCGGAAGAAAAGGTAGAGGAAGAAACACGGGACTCCTTAAATTTCTTCTCTTTTGTCAATGTTGTGCTATATCTATTTATTTATGCTCGTAGTTTTTCTTTTTAATAGTTTGTACAAGTGTGAAATTTCATTTTGTGGAAAGTTTACCAATTGTTGTTAGATTATAAAACTGTGTTAACAGGCTGTTTATCAATCATTTGGATTGAAAGTGCGTAGTTGCGTTATCAATTCAAAAACGCAACTAAAGTTAAAAAATAATTCAAAAGACGTAATTTTGTGAAATTTAAAGGTTTTTGTTTACATGCAGTTAATTTTTTTTTGTTAATGTGTTTTTTTTTTTTGTTAATGTGTTTTTACAAAAAAAAAACAAGGTTGCATGTAGTATTTTAGAGTGGGAAAACGTTCAATTTACTTTGAAGTTTTCCTTTCATTCAATTTTTTTTTTTGGTTTTCTACAACTTCATCATTGGGTGAATAATATTATTCAGATCCATAATATTTTAGTATACAATCCAGTTTTATTTTTAAATACGATATTCTTACAGCCACATGTACTTTTATAATACGATATATATTGTAGATTTGGTATTTTAAGATATAATATACTAATATCACGATGACAGAAAAAAAAACTTTATCACATAACGCATTTAAGTGTAAGGATAAATCATAATAAGCATGGAGGTGGAATATAAGTGGCTAATATTCTTAAAAAATACATCATACATATATATATATGATTTGATTTGATTTGATTTACACCATATATATATATATATATATGATTTGCTGTTATTAAATGACGACTTAATAACATGGAATGCATGTGGTGATGTATATGGTGCTTGTGATGTAGGGACGGGCCAAGCACATTTTCCAGCGTATATACTTATTATAACAAGTTGATTAAAGAACGAAATAAAGAAAAAGGGTGAAACACATAAGCATTGAAATAAATATTAGGTACTTATTATTTTTGCGTAAGAAAAAAAACTAAAATACTATTTTTGTCAATGAAGAGAAATAAAAGCACTGCAAGGGCCACATGCAATTGATACATAAGAACAAATGCAGAGTTTTCAGTCTATATTTATTATCAGCAAGTGACAGTGCATGCGATCGGTATCAATGTATCAAGCTTCTTAACCAAACCGGATTGATACCCGGACTTGACCGGTCTGTTTTGTGAGGTTGTTAGATTGTTAAATACCGTATTAAGGCTATTGAATATTTGGGCCTCATGATTGAAAAACGGGCCACATTTTAGAAACTGGGACCCATTAGCTGACTTCTGTAGTCAACTTCTCAGATATCCAGCCATCAGACACAAACTTTTTTTTTCTGATAGTAATAAGACCAGCTGCTCAGTTACAAAAAAAAAAAAAGACCAGCTGCTGTTGGGAAATAAATAGACCTCGACGAATAAGAGCTTCTGTCATTTTTGTCCGGTTAAATATGTAAATCAGACCAGATATTTTAGACATTTTGCAAGAGTGAAAATGTTTGTGCTTGGTGAAAAAGAAAACTTCATACGTTTGGTTTATAGAATAGAAATGTAAGGTTTTAGATGGTGATTGGACCCGTCTTAGTTTAGACATCATATACACTTATTGCCTTTAACTTGATAGCTTGTACTTAAGAACCGCATTGGGCTTTCCCAGTATGCCACTAACGGGTCAAATCAGAGAAGAAGAACTTAACTTTTATATATATTTTACTTATATTTTTATTATTTTTTACTTATATTTTGTAGGATTTTATTAAAAATTTATATGTCAAGATAATTTATATTTATTTGATAATAATAATAATATTCGTAACAACATTAGTGTTAGTTATATAATTTTATGAATAAATATGTTACACGTAGGGGTGTTCAATCCGGTAAAACCGAACCAATTAAAACCGAAGCAAAATAGAGAAAGTGATTTCGATTTGGTAGTACCAAATAAACCAAATGAATGTTAATTTTAAGTAACCGTGATATATGGATATGGTTCAGTATATAAACCGATCAAACCGAATAAACTGAAGAAACCGATTAATTAAAATGTGTTAAATACTTATATGTAAATTTTATAATAAAATTAATAATATATACATGATTATGTATTAATACGTCGTTCATATTTATAGCACTGATTTTATGAAACTTTTTTATTTGTTCTAAGTTAAAAAAATCTTTTTTTGTCAAATTAAATAAAACATATTTTATTGATCAATAGTTGCGCTAAAATATAGTTATTTAATAATATTATGATATTATGATATTATTATTTTTATTATTTTTATTATTTTATTATTAATAATAAAAATGAAAAAGAAGATACTCTATTTTAAATTTAGACTACGAGATATATTATATGTTTTAATAAATCTGATTTGATCATATAAACTAAAATTTATCATAAAAGATAAATATAGTTATGGTTTTTGGTATAAAACCGCAAAAATAAAAATAACACTAGTATATAAACCAAACCAAACGAAAATATATGTGGTATTAATATGGTAGTGATTTTTTATAAACCGAAATTCTAAAAAACCAAAAAAATTGAACCGACATCCAGATTGAATACCCCTAAGAATTAAGAAACAACTAAACAAATTAATGAAGTATTAGTTGCACTGGTATAATAGAGTATTGAATTTTGTTCACTAGATAATAGTTCTCGATAAGTAGTAATATATATCTGAAAAACTCTACATATTTATAAAAATCTCTATAATATTATTTGAGAAGTCACTTTCTTATGTGTCGCGCTCACGTTAACTCTCACGTTGGTTGATTACTATGATACCCCTAATGAATTAAAATATATATTTAAATATTATTATTTCCTTTTAATTTTTTCCAAATAACAATATAAAATAAAAAGGAAACATGTATAAAGTTTACAAATCTATTTAAAAACGAAAATATAAGTATATATAAGTATGGTTTCATAAAAATGGAAAGTTCACAAAATGGTAATATTTAATTTAAATATATTTTAAATAACATAAAATCTAATTATGAAGTAATGAAATACTTTATAACTATATCTTCTTAGATGAAAACAATATTTGTATATAATGTGATTCCATAAAAGTTCACACAACTAATCTTTATATTAGAAAAGGAGATATTTTTTTATTTTAAAAAATAATTTTAAACAATAAATATATAGATTTTCAAAGTATTTGTTTTTGTATATATCTATTTTATTAGATGATTACATTAAATAATTAAGTAACATAAACTGATATATGTTTAATTGACAAAAAAATTATAATTAGTATTCTTGAAATATATTTTTTTTTATTTTAGTATATTTTTGACTATAATATCTTACAATTGCAGCAAAAAATATAAATTCTATTTACTTATATAATATAATTTCTAAAAAACAATACCATTTTTACTGCATAGTTTAAGAGATATTAAAAAAAAACTAAAAATGAATTTTAATAATAAACATTTTTTGATCAAATAACTACATTTATCTTAAAATATCATAACATTATATAATTTATCGAAGTAGATATATTATATTTTAACAGTTAAAATTATATGTTTTCTTAATAACTCTTTTGATTTTTAATTTTCTGTTTTTATGTTTGTGGAACTTAATATAACCATAATCAAAATACTTAAGCAAATCAGAATCCTTATTTTTAAAATTATTTAAAATAAATTTCAGTTTACCATCTAATCAGTCTAAATATTGTAAATATTGATATGTGTTCATAATAAGCTTGCAAAAATTTATTAGTTACTTAAGTATGTAATTTAAAATCAGGATATACTTATATTTCTAAGATAATAACCGGCATAAATACAAATAAGACAATTAATCAAAAATTTAATATATTTAGAATAAAAAAGATTATAGTTGAATTTGGAGAAATAGATAGAATCTAATATATCTCAGTGATAACTAAATCAACCGTAAAATCAATAAAACTGACGAAATATAACATATCTAAAATTATATATAATTAAATTAATATAATATTATTAATATAAATTATATCTACAAACTATAAATTAATTTTAAATTTGAAGTAAATATCAATCAATTATTATAATATATTTATTTTATAAATATTTATGTCCGTGCATGAACACGGAAAAATCACCTAGTTAATAAAAAATTTAAGAAGTATACCTCATTAATTTGGATGTCTAGTCAGTGGTTTGGGTGGCTTTCTCTTCGGGCTAGCCCTGTAAACCGTGTTTGTTGCTTGCTCTATCTGGGGTAGCTGTTTGGGAGAGGTAAAGCAAAGATATGCTCTTTTGTTAAAGTGATTTCCGACCAAAATCAAAAAAATTAATATTTCCACCAAAATTGTAGTTTTGGACAGTCACAAAAATATATTTTTCCGTTAAAATTGCAAAAGCGATTTTTAACCAAAATCACAAAATCAAATTTTCAACAAAATTACAAAATTGAATTTACCATTAAAATTAAGTTTTCTAGCAAAAATCACAAAATCAAATTTTCTCGTTGAAATTGCAAAAATTGAGTTTCTCACTAAAATCGCTAAAATCAAATTTAGTCAAAACCACAAAAAAATTTCCCGTCAAATTTTATTTTATTCTAAAACTACAAAACAAGTTTCAACCAAATTACAGAATTTTGTTTTCCCACCAAAATTGTATTACATATTATGATGTTTTGAATATTTAAATTATCTTTAAAGCAAATTTGACTCGTAACATGTTTACTTATATCATCCTATACGGTCTTAATGAACATGATCACTCTCTATCCACAAACAATAAATAGACAAATGGATATGGGTAAATGGACGTGGGCTAAGCACGTTACAGCTCTAATCCCTATGGCTATGCCTGCTTGAGGATCGTTAGAGCCTTCTTGGTGGAAGACCAAAAGATTATGAAGAAGGTTTTGAAGCTTCATAAGTCGAAGGAGAAGGCTGCACCTAAGAACTAACAAAAATTCTTTGTGGAGAGTTTTGCAGAACATTACAAGAGCGATGAGTATGAATGATCTTGTAAGGGGTAGATCAATAGAGATGAATTTTTTTTTTTATGATTTTTAAGTTGAGTTGCTGATTTAAGTTCAGATATTACTTTGTTAAGCGTGGTATCTCGCTAGTATTAATATCTAGAGACAGAAAGGCACACGCACCAGAAATGTTCCATACTATATGTACTTTCTATGTTGTTAAAGAAGAAGAGCTTTCTTCTATTTTCATTCTACTTATTTTCATCTACTTATCACACAAGAGGAGTTACTGGGTAAGTTTCTTTCCTTCTCTTATTTCCCATTGATCCAAATGAATGCTGCTCTTCTTCGTGGAACTGCAACAAGGTAACAAAAACGTTTTCTTAGTCGATGTTTTATAAGAAGGGTTTAAGTTAATCAGAGGAAGTGAAAAAAAAAACAGAAAACATTACTTTATATCAGATATTCGAGCAACCAAGAAGCTATTTCAGCATCGTTAGGGAGACCACTTGAAAGCCTATTATGATCGAACCCAAACGGTGGAGAATAGATGAAACATTCGACTTTAGCGTCACAGATCACACACCTGTGATGGTCGCCTGTAGATTGTGCAATCTTTTGTTTACATGAGCTGCACCATAGTTTGTGTCGACATGGGAAGTTTGCCCATAAAAGCATGCTCTTGTTGCACCAGAAACACATTCCTTTCCTTAAACACATCTCATAGCTCTGTAAATATTACCCTCCTCCACTTAATAACAAATGACAGAATTCAATTTATTAAAAAAGAAGAGCAGAAAGTGAGATTGCTTACTGGACAAAAGTCGAACTCACGGAGAAAGAATATAGATGTGCTGTTTCTGGCCCTTGCAAGTGCCTCTAGAACCGGATGTTTTAGCTGATGATGATGATAGCTATGAGAAGTATCCAAGGGAGGTTCTGGCTTCAAGGTTTTAGATACATCTGCTTGTTGTGTGTAAGCTGTCTCTAGAACCGGATGTTTGTTGCTGTAAGATGAAGCCAAGGGAGGTTGAGGCTCTACTTTTGTCTCCAAGGTTGTAGAGTCAGGTGCTTGTTGTATGAAGGGGGTTGCTGAGACTTTCGGTTTGTTGGGAGAGAGAGCGATGGCCTGTGCTTGTTGTGTGGATTTGAGAGCTGGAGCTGTTGAGGCTTTCGGCTTGTTGAGAAAGAAAGAGTCGTTGGTTTTGATGATGAGTGGCTCTGGAGGTCTTCCTTTTAGCTGAGAAGACGTGGACTTGGAGGGTAACATCACCCAGTGGGTTGCAAGTGCAGAATTACCTACGTGGACGGATTTAACTTTACAGAGTTTTGGAAAATATTTGATGAAGTCGATGAGCTTGGGGAAGCCAAGAGAGGCGTGGTTGAGTCCCATGCCAAAAGCAGCGCTGAAATCGGCTTTGAGTGATGAGAGGGGATATCCATTAATCTCTCTGTACCTCTCTGATACATCTCGGAGATGCCGAGGAAGCCAATTTACGAACTTTTTGAGCCATGGTGGCACGGTAGTGCCTGTGAAACTGGTTTCTTCATCATCTCCTTTTGCAGGTTCTGCTTCTTTGCTAGCTGCATTTCATGGAATGCTTGTTTAGTCGTTTTCTTTTATGTTTTTGTCTATATAGAAGAACAAATACTTACAGCAAATGTTGTTTGTTGGGTTAAGGAGGAAGCGTATATCTTGCGACTGAGTCAGCTCTATTGGTCTTTGTTTTCTGCGCAAGATGTAACCAAATCGATCACAGAAGAGATCCATAGCAATGATATTGGTAAAAAAAATTGTTTGTGCAATGCCTCACCGTAGATTATGAATTTCTGAACTTGCTCCACGTTGAAGAAGCAACTCAACGCAGTCAAGATGGTTATTCTTCACTGCGAAGAACAGTGGTGTCTCTTTGATTACTGTCTTGGAGTGAACCAAATCAGGGTAGGCCGCTAGTAGAATCTGTAGGTCCAAAAAATGTCATTATCTTGTTTCAGCTTAGGATGAGAAACACAAACAAGATTAGGAAAGTATACCTCAAGTGCAGATAAATTGCCATTTGCAGCAGCTAAGTGGACTGCAGATAAACCCAACTTGTTCTTATGTGTAATCCGAGCACCGTGTATAAGAAGCAGGTTCATGATTCTGGATTACACAAATGTACTAGAATCACCACGCGGCCTTATTGTATATGATTACGGTAGTAAGAAGAGTTACTCATATACCTAGTTTGTTGCTTATGTGGCACAGATGATCCCTTCAGGCAGCACTGAAGAACTGTGTTCCCTTCTGCATCAGTTTCATTAACATCGATATCCGTGTTTATAAGCAGTTCAAGAACAGCTTCATCTCCTGCCTACAAGATCAACGGTGGAGAATATCACATCACAACCCTCACAACAGTGCCTTAATAAACTAACCAAAACTCTCACCTGTACAATAGAGAAAAGCGGTGAGGTTTGCTTATCCCCAGACTCCGTAAAAACCGCAGCACCAAAGAGCTGAAGAACCCCAATCTCCCGCAACAAAACCATTCTCTTCTCCCTATTACCACCACTCCTCAGCGCTTCTTGAATAACAGACTCGTAAATCGTCCTCTTCGGCTTCATCGACACAGACTCATCAACATCCTGTAACGCCACAGTCGCCTCTCTGATCTTATCAACAGCTACAATCAGCAAAACAGTCAAAGAAACTATTTCACCAGACGTGGCGTATGAATGCGCCACAACGTCTACTTCCTTTGTCTTCTCAGCAAGTAGCCTCACCACCGTCAAATCCTTCACATAAAAGATCAAATTTTACATATGACAAGTAAGTCTCTTTCCTAAAAGAGAACTAGTTTTTTTAACCTTGTCACCAAGCAGAAGAATCAAGTCTGCAAGAGAGTCACCACTTGCATCCCATGTCACATCCAAGCTACCAAAACAAGGAAACAAAATTGTTAATAATTGTTAATAAAGACTTTACTTAAACTAATTAACTTTCTTGATTAAGGTAAAACGCGTTTACACACACATCTCAATCTTTCATACCTTCCGCTACAGAGAGAAAGCTCAAGAGGAAGCAAAGCGCGTCCGTCTTTACTCCTCATATCCGTACGAGCGCGTCGTTTAATCAGCATCTCAACGCACCGAGGCGAGTTCGCCTCAGCTGCGGTGTGAAGCGGCGAGAGTCCAGTATCCTCCGCCGCGTCGTTGATGTACGGAACCGATCCGATGTCTCCGTTGAAGATGGAGGAAGCGCAGGCGACGGAATCGTAACCGCAGCAGGCGGTTAGAAGCTTGAGAGCTTGGCCTCTCTCGTACTCCGAGTCTTGACCTAGAAACACGCGTTTCGCGTGCGATACGAACTCCGATTTGTCGTCTCGACGTAGGGAAGCCATCAAGGCCGCGAAAGAAGGCTCCGGAGACGGTTTCGCGGCGGAGTAAGGAGGTTTCGGCCATGAATCGAAGATCTGAGTGAAATCGAGACTCATCGGTGCCTGAAAATGACGCAAAATCAAGAAATCAAGGAGAGATTTAGGAGTAAGGTCGAGGAGTGAGAGATGAGTCGTACCAGCTCCATCTCTGAACCCTAGCTTTTTCTCTCGTGACGGAGAGCGATCACCGGAGTCGAGATATGGAGTAACGGAGTCAGTTAAAAGCTACTAAGTTTGTTTCAACTGATTTTGATCGGAGAAGGGAGCATTTTCCGGCGAAGTGTTTGTTTTTTTTTTTGTTGCTTTTTTTGGTGATTTTAGAGGAAAAGTGAAGAGGGAAACGGAGAGGGAAAATGAAGATATTTATAGCAGTGACGTGGGGTGTCGCAGTGTTTTTGAAATGACGTAATTACCATCCGTTTTGTGGGCAGTGGGGGATACGTGATGAGGGGTGGATTTGGTATTTCTGTGTGTTTCGGCCCATTCGTATCCTCCTGACTTCCTGAGGCGAATAAACTCCGTACTCTTTTGTTTCTGAATCATTATGGAATGGCCTCGTAAATGACAAAAAACATAAGCGATTAAAACGTAAGGAAAAGCGTTTGCGTTTCAGATATCATAACAAGAGAACCATAAGACTGTTTTTTTTCTTTGTATAAAAGGACTTTTGGTATTTAAATTGCAGAAGAAATAACAGGGGTACAAGCCTTTGAGAACTCAATTATCCCCAAGAAGGTGAAGGAGGTTTGCCTTGTTAGAACATCTCCATCTATATTTCATAATTTATTTTAAAATAGAGTGGGGAATGAAATGAACAAAAAATATAAAATTTTACTCTATAAATAAAGTAATATTTTTATTTTTCAATTATTACTCTATTTTCTATTATATTTTTGAGTAAAACGAAATAAATTATAGAGTGGGGTGTTCTTAGAGTATCTTCAATCACACTCTATTTTTCACTCTAAAATAAAATTTAGAATAAAATAGCTTCAATGGTATTCTATTTGTTATACTATAACAGAGTAAAAAATAGTTTTACTCTATATATATAGAGTAAGTTGTTTTTGTTTTAGACCATCTCCAATGGTTCACTCTATTTTTTCTTTCAAAATAGAGTAATTCTATAATAGAGTTGAGTTTTACTCAATGGTACTCTATTTTAGAGTGAAAAAAAGAATCATGAACAACAAAAAACAACTTACTTTATATATAGAGTAAATCTATTTTTCACTCTATTTTAATGTAACAAATAGAATATCATTTGAGCACTTTTATTCTAAACTCTATTTTAGAGTGGACAATAGAATAAGGTTGGAGATGTCCTTATTCATAACTCTATTTTTTATTCTAAAATAGAATACCATTGTATAAAAACTCAATCTATTATAGAATTACACTATTTTGAGGGAGAAAATAGAATCGATCACTGGAGATGGTCTTAGAGGCTCAGTCTGTTAATTAGTGATTCAGAGAGAACCATAAGAACGCTTAGCTGATCATAGAAGCCGTGCATAAGGAAACATACCTTGCAATCGATGGCATTGGTTAGTGTTACGGTGGCAATCACACCCGTCTTATTAACTCTTAGGGCCCAAAAAAACTTTATGGGCCTATGCAAGTTCTAATTTTATAAGAACAAATAAAATTGTTTTGCGACAAATCCCTAAACTTTTGAAAAAAGGGTTAAACTCTAACTCAAAAAAAAAAAAAAAATAGAGTCTAGTCACATGCCAAGAGATGGGCGTGGTGCCAATGCTGCAGAGCTCGCCATTCCGTAGTCATATTTAAGTGAGCCGAGAGTAAATATATTTTTAACACAATAAAATTTAGGTTCAAAATATATTTTGGGCCTAAGCCCCTAAAGGCACTAGGATATTTTGAATTTTGCTTAATCTGCTGTAACATAACCAATTCATATATACTATACAGTATTAAGCTTAATATTCAAATTATATTTAAATGTTGTTCATTTTGTCCATCTGTCATCTCTATTGAGATGACCCCTATTTAGATGATCTATTTAAATATTCCACTTTGATGTTAATTGATATTATTCGTTTTTCCATCTAGATGAATAAAGTAAGAAAATGAGTTATATATTTTAGTTTTGATTAATTATATTTTGTTTAAGAATATTAAGTTTATTAATTATCTAAATATAAGTATTTTAAAATATGATTTTGATGGGAAATATAATTCTGCAATTTTAGTAGAAAATATATTTTAATAATTTTAGCGAGAATATATATTTTGTGCGGTTTTAGTGAGAAATGTAATTTTGTGATTTTGGTACGAAAGTGCAGTTTTGTGATTTGGGCGGGAAGCATATGATTTTGCAGTTTTGCCGAGAAAATAAGGTTTACAGTTTTGATAGCAAAAAAAATTAATGTGATTTGGTGGAAAAGTGTACTTTTGTAGTTTTGATGGGAACACATTTTGTTGTTTGGCAAAAATACGTTTTTGCAGCTTTGATGAAAAAATTATTTTGGGGTTTTGGCGAGAATGCGTGTTCTCGTAGTTTTTTGGAAAATTGTTTTAGATTCCTCTACTGAAATATCCAAACTTGTACTAAAAATAAGAAAATTTGAACTAGAAATATCCGAACCTGATCTGATATATAAAATATCTGGACAGATATTCGAACTCTCATGTAGTAATATTTTTTTATTTTTTGATTAATTTGGATATCTCGAACTTTACGTACATACTAATCTCTAAGAATATATATTATAGCCCAGCCCCAGCGGATAGAACCTCTTTTGGATTTTCAAATAGGACCGATACCTTATTCTCCGTGTGACGACACATGATTGATCCGAACCGGATCGTTTAATTCAACGAATTTACCTACCACTACTAGACTATCATGTGTGATTACATACTACATAGTAGTAAACTTATAAAATTATTACCATTAAATGTATAAATCTCTCTTAGCTTGCCGAATGTGTATAATATTTGTAAATACAGTGTATCTTAAAATTTGTTGCATTGATTCAACGCTGGTAAAAGGAAGCCGGTGTATAGAAGTTATAGCAATCATTAATTGGTAAATTGACCTATCGGTTTGTGAGTAAAGCTATTGGTAGGTGAAGTGTGCATAAACATCATTGAGTATTCTGTCGGGGCATAATATCATTTCTTTAAAACATTCTTTAGCGATCGCATTTACAGTATTCTACTTATAAGAAAGTCGAGACGTATACATGACTCGTTGAAATCACTATTATAGCATGCTGTTTACTATTATTATTACGCATCTTAATAATCTCATAAACTAAACCACGACGTTGATTACGCAGCGTAAATCTAACTATTCTTTATAATATAGTAAACCGTTGCATCGGAAAGTTCAATTATTGCAGGCTGCTTTTTTCATGATTTACTAATAAATTTAAAATTTAAAAATCTTATTTTGTTACATTATGTATGTATGGATAAAAATTGATAGGGAACAATCAAAAGGATAGTTGGACATAGAAACATTGTGGAGCCTAAAAACCGAACATTTAGTACGTGAAACCCACATGGACTAACATGTTACATCTGCCCTTTGCGATTAATTGATTATATAGATACACACAATGAAATAAACATTGTAGATACGAGTGGGTTTTGATGATCTTTGTAGTCTTACTGTCGATGAATACAAATTGGTTCTAAACTATGTTAATCCGTCAATTACGTTGTAATGGAAACATGGTTATATGAATATTTGTCGACTATTTTTTTTTCAACACTAAAGGTATATATTGATGAAGTCATTCTAACAAGATAGTAACTAATCCGCATGCGTTTTTTTTCATTTTCTTAGCTGTTTGCAGCACACTTCGTGAAGAAAAAAAAGTTTCATTCTTGCAACCAAAAATTCACATGTTCCCGACAGAAAAAAAAAATTCGAAATTAATCCGCCGCTAATTGAAGATTTATGGTGAGTTAGTCTCTGATTTAATTTGGTCAACAAAAAGTAACAATAGTATATTCCCAAAAAAACAATGTGTATTCTATCCATTCTGCCATATTGTGCTTGTTCCATGCAAATTTTACTGCTATCACCATTTGGATCCCTGGATTAACATATCCTCCATGTGATTTAATGTTGAAGTTATCTATATGTAAAAACTGAAAACCAGTTTCATATTTTCAAAAAAAAAAAAATAGAATATAACTTTCTTGTTTATCAAAATCAATAAATGTATAATATACTTAAAGCATTTCATTAAAATAGAGAACAAAGCAATCCTATTAGTAGAATATAATCAATGTTATGTGATGCTTAGGGAATCATTAGTGTCACTCTATTTTTTTCTCTATAATTTTATCTAAAATAAAATAATTCTGTTATATAATAATGTTTGTTTCAAACGTATTACACTATAGTAAATTTATTCTAGTATAGAGTATAATGTAGATGATTGTTAATGAAAAAATATTAACAATCTATATTATACTTTATAATAGTGTATATTATAGAATAACATTTTGGAACAAAAGTTAATTTATAATATAATTATTCTATTTACAGAAAATTATAGAAGAGAAAACACAGTGGCAGTGGAGATGGTCTTGGCAAATAATACTTTAACAATTACAGTACATACCTTTTTTACATCCATGAAATACAGTAAATAAATCATTAGTATTAAAATATTGATTGGCATGTTTCTCTCATCAAACTATGTCATAGTCCAGATAATTTGTTTTTCTCCTATCGTTTTGAAAAAGTAATTAAATTTTAACATGTATTTATAACTTCTGAAATTTTTTAATTGTTTTTTGAATGTCCAAGGACAAAGATTAAGATAGATGATTACTATGAGCTAACCAATTTCTTCATTTCAATGTCTAAATAGTAATTTCTGTAGATATGGGAAGTAAATCACAACATCTTTGAGCTTGTGTATGATAACATTGTGCAGTTGATTAAGTTTTATATATATATTTTTTTGAAACTGGTTTGTATGTTATATTTTATATGTAAATAATGCTCACACAAATTAACAACGTAATTAAGCACCTTGTGTCCACGTATTAATCATGTTTAAGGATCTACG